GGTGTTATTTTGAACCCCCCCTTAAACTCTGCTCTTGGGTAAGCATCCTGCCTTCTCCACCGGGCTGGAGGCTCTGCCTCCCTACACAGGCCCAGATACGGAATATGTGGGGCCCCGTGCAAAATGAGAATGTGGGGCTTCTGTTCAAAAGTTATTAAGAATTTCAAGCAGAGTGTTAAACCAAGCACAGGACCCTTCTCAGTAGGAGGCCCTATGTGACATCATAGGTCCAAAGCACCCATAAAGCTGGTCTTGTTCCGAGGCCTCAAGCTCAGGTAGGGAATTGGGGTAGGGGCAGGCCAGGGAGCTCTGACTGATTTTCCTAGAGGCCCTAAGGTCATGGTTGGGTAATCATCCTCTGCCTAAGGCACCAAGATGCCAAGCAGACAAGAGCCTATTCCCCTCCCCACCCCCCACTCCTCCAGGTTGCAAGGGTAAAATCCAGAAGACCAGGGGTGGGGTAGGGGTGCTGGGCTGCCAGATCCACTAGGGAGGATTTCCAGCTGCGGCCAGCCCCTAGCCCCAGGTGCTGAGTCCCCAATTAACTCGTCAGCTGTTCCCCTCTTCCCCTCCCCTCTTTCTAAGGCCCGAGGATCCCACCCTGGGACTCTCTGGTGAACTTGGAGTGTGGAAGGAAGGTGACAGAGAATTTAAGAATGTTTCAGCTTGGGTGCCTGGGTGGCTCAGTTGGTTAAGCGACTGCCTTCGGCTCAGGTCATGATCCCAGGTCCTGAGATCGAGTCCCGCATCGGGCTCCCTGCTCTGCAGGGAGTCTGCTTCTCCCTCTGACCCTACCCCCTCTTGTGCTCTCTCTCTTTCAAATAAATAAATAAAATCTTAAAAAAAAAAAAAAAAAGAATGATTCGGCTTGATGTTAGTTGACCAGGAAATCAGGAGCCCTTTTCCTGACTTGGCATCATTTTATTGCTCAGGATCATCAGAATTTCAATGGTCCACTCTCTGCTTGGCCTCCTCACACTATGACCCTCCCCACTTGGTCCTTTCCATGGCTCTTTCTCCTCCACCTAATCCTGAGTCGTTGATGTTCTCCAAGTTCCATCTTTGGCCTCTTCCTGTCTTGCCCCATGAAGTCATCCTGCACGGACTCACCTCCTTCCATATTATCAGCTATCACCTCCAGTGGTTTTCAGCAGGGCAAAAGGGGAGGGAGGAGAAGCCACGGGGAATCACGTAGAATCACCTGATGAGAAGGGCCTTCTGACTGGTGACACCATTCCTTCAGTCATCCCAGAAAGAAACTTGAAGTCATGTGTGATGTTTCCTTCCCGTCCTGCCAACATTCAAGCAATCTCTAAGCCCTGAAAATGTTACCTCTTAATTATCTCTCCAATTCATCACCTCCTCTCTGTTCTTACTCCACTTCCCCAATTCAGGCCCTGATCACGTCTGAACGTCTGCATCCCAGTGATTCGCCTTTCTCTGGGAACTGCGCTTCTTGGGGTGACCTAAAAGTCAGCAGGGAAGGGAATTCCTTCCTCGCTGATCTTAGGAAGCAATTCAGATTCTGGTCAGATGATCAAGGTCTTCGAGTCCAACCAAAGGACTGGAAACAAGGATATCTGGGGCAAACTATGTGGCTGGTCCCCTTAGGGTGAGTTCAGAGACTGAAAATATTCAAGTGTCATGAACAGGTTTACCAGAAGGCCGCCCCGTAGAAGAGGCTCTTTATCACCCCCTAGACAGGGTGACCCCTGGGCTGACTGGCACTCACGAAACAAAGCAGCAGAGAGGCAGGAACAGAGGTTATGCATGAGCGGAACAGTCAGGGCTTTCTTTCATCAGGGTCGGCACAGGTCTGTCAATGAGCCAGCGACAGTGACAACCCTGAGCCCCTCGTACAATACCAGACCTCAAGGACAACCAGCCAGTTCTCTGGTGGCACGTCAATGGAGGGGACAGAGTCACTGGAATAGGCACTTATTTGGGAATCGGATTTGAATTCCCTGCCTGTCATGTCTCTGTCAATGCTACCACCTATGGACCCATGAAATGTCTTCTAGGTGCGCCATCGTGTCCTAGACCCCTCCTTCCCTGGGGACGCCTGTGGGGTTCAATCAGTTGAGCATCTGACTTTGGCTCAGGTCATGATCTCAGGGTCTTGGGATTGGGCCCCGTGTGGGGCTCCCCTCTGAGCATGGGACTCCCCACTCAGCTTGTCCCTCTGCTCCTCCCCCTTCTTGTTCTCTCTCTCTCAAATAAATAAAATCTTTTTTTTAATATTGTATTTATCTGAGAGAGAGACAGAGACAACACAAGCAGAGCAGAGGGAGAGGGACAAGCCGATTCCCCGCTGAGCAGGGAGCCCGATGTGGGGCTCGATCCCAGGACCCTGAGATCATGACCTGAGCCGAAGGCAGACGCTTAACGACTGATCCACCCAGGCGCCTGGATAAAATCTGAAGAAAAGGAAAGAAGAAGAGGTGGAGGAGGAGGAGGAGAAGAAGAAGAGGAAGAAAGAAGAAGAAGAAGAAAAGAAGCAGCAGCAGCAGCAGCAGCAGCCCTTCCCTGAAAAATAAGTAAGACACTAAGTGGAATGTGGGTCCTGGAACAGAATAAAGACGCTAGTGAAAAAGTTAGGGAAATCCAAGTTGAAGTCTGGAGTTTAGTTCATAGTATCGTCCCAATGTTAATTTCTTAGCTTTACTACAAGTATGTGGTTAATGAAATGTTAACATCCAGGGAAGCTGAGTGAGCAGGATAAGGGAACCCTCTGTACTAGCTTTGCGACTCTTCTGTGCATCTAAGGCAAAGGGTAAATGCTGACAGGATTTGCTGACCTCGCCATGAGTCCCTCATCTGGAAGCTTCTGGCTTTACAGAGTGAAGGACTGGCCCAGTCAAGCCCCAGTGGGGAGCTAGCGGGGAGACACTTTGCAAAGACGAGGTGCTGTCGTCAAAGGTGAGGCTGCTGCCCATGCTCTGAACCCCTAACAACACATGGTGCTTTTGTTCATGGGTATGAACCCCCAGGATCTATGGGACAGGGCTGGGGCTGGGCGGCTTAGATGACACCCATGACCTGCTCCGCATCATCATGCTCAGCCTCTGAACTGGCTAAGGCGCAGGTTTGGGCACGCAAGGAAGGGATGGGACCACCAGGGCACACAATAATTCCCTTGGGGTGGAAGCTGAGATTGCCCTCTGCCATTTGAGGCTCTTTCGGGCACTAGGAAAACAGACAGAAGAGGGGTTCAGAGCCCTGGGCTGATGACTGACTCTGAGGCTTAGGGGTCCTGTGATTGTTACCACACCTTGGGGTGGACAAGAAGGGTGTGGGAGGAGCCAACAGAACCTCCGGAGCATCTGGGTGCCATTCGCTGAGAAAAGGTGAGCAGCAGAGCTGGGTCCAGGGTTCAGACGCCTCAGGAATAATGGTTGGAGTCCCCGCTGGGCCAGACAGCCCGGTCAGCGCGATGCTAGGACTGGGTGGCAGGAAGAAGGAAGCTGTAGCCCTGTGGCCTGTCGCCGTAGGGCTGTGGCCCACACCTGCTTTTCCTTTATTTTTTTAAAGATTTTTATCAATTTGTCAGAAGATACAGAGAGAGCACAAGCAGGGGGAGGGCCCGGCAGAGGGAGAAGCAGGTTCCCCTCTAAGCAGGGAGCCCGATGCGGGGCTCGATCCCAGGCCCCTGGAATCCTGACCCGAGCCGAAGGCAGACGCTTAACCAACTGAGCCACCCAGGCGCCCCTACCCTTCCCTATTTAAAAAAAATAAGAATTATTGTATTTAAACGTTCTCTTTCTCATTCCTCTTCTTTTCCTTCTCAAGTATAACGAGATTGGCTGAACTTATTCAAGGTTGCAGGATGGTGAGTTGGGGGTCAGGATGGAATTTTCAGGAGGGAGTTGGGAAAGGAGGGGACACTTCCCTGGAGATCCTGGATTCTGACCAGGGGCCCATGACCTCCCCAGTAGGCCCAGGGCATGCCCTCCAGGTGGGGCCTGCTGAGGGGGGGGCGGCGAGTTTGCAGCTCTAGTGGGATCACTGTATTATTTTAGGTTTATTTTCACCTACTTGCCGTCTCTCTAGTCATCTCCCAAGCCAGAAGCTCATCATCCCTGACGACTCCCTCTCCATCACCCATCACTCCGCGAGATGTCAAGATCGGAAAACCTCATTTCCCAAAGAACTCCTCACCCCACCTCCCACTCTAGACTTAAGACGCCCACTCCCCCAATCTAAGGATCGTCTCCTTAACTGTCTCTCCGCCTCGATTCTTTCTCTTTTCAATCTGGGCAAAAGCCAGTTTCCTTCTAAATGCAAACATTGCCAACTCACAGCCCAGATGGAGGTGGATGACACAAAGACCCTTCTGCTCATCTCCAAGCCCACCTCTCTAGCAGTGAATTCCAAAGATCTAGGCCTCTCCTTGGACAGTCCCACTCCAACCCGGTCGGTGTTTGTATTCAAACCCTGGTTCCTACCTTTTTCCCTTCTCATATTTATGCCTCTGTTTATACGGCCACTTCAGCCAGATTTGCCATGCATCCGCCCATTTACAACTTCAGTGTTTAGGATTCAGCTCTGGATATCACGTCCTTCTAGAGGCTTTTACGGATTTTCCCTCCCAGGACGCAACTCACCCATTTGGCTGGATTAGGCTGCCCTCCTATGGGTCCCCCTGATTCCCCCCCAACACACACACAGACTTTGCACTGAATGCATTGTATCATGTGAGTCCTTCTAATGTCGTTTTTTTTTTTAATTTTTTTTAAAGATTTTTATTTATTTATTCATGAGAGACAGAGAGAGAGAGAGAGGGGGGCAGAGGGAGAGGCAGAGGGAGAAGCAGGCTTCCCGCTGAGCAGGGAGCCCGATGCGGGACTCGATCCCAGGACCCTGGGATCATGACCTTGAGCCGAAGGCAGACGCTTAACCACTGAGCCACCCAGGCGCCCCTGATGTAGCTTTTGATTGTAGGTGAGGTTTGGTGGGGAGAGGTTCGGAGCCAAGAGGCAAGAAAGAATTCTTGAGACGTCTTTGGTGCAAACTGGTGGTTTTAATAAAGCACAGGGACAGGGGTTGCCCCGGGGTTGTGACGGGTGACTTGATTATATACTTGGGAGTTGGGGGTAAGGAAAAAGTGAGGTTTTCAAAAGAATTTTTGTATGCTAAAGAGGACCTACAAGATAATGGAGGCCTGCCATTGTCATTGTTTTTCCCTCTAGTAAAGCATTAACAGTAAGACAGTTGGGAGTTTCCTTCTGGAAGTTAGGTTATTGATAAGAATGGTGGGTTTTTTTTTTTTTCTTGGTAAATCACTAAGACCTTTGTAAACTGAGGGAGACTCCTGTCTTGCAGGACTGGGATCTCTATGAGTTAACCATTTGTTTTTCCTTCCCTTAGCTTTAGGGCAGCGGGGAGTGCCTGAGGAATGTCACGCAGCTCCCTCGGTGGTGGGGGGGGGGCAGGCTGCAGGCTGTCCCCTTGTGCTCTGTCCTCAGCTTGCCTTCTGCATCCTCATCACTTCTGTGGTTCCGTTAAAAACTACAATCTCCTTGCTAACAAAGCCCAGGAATCCGCATCCTCCTTAGCAGGAACCAGCCTCCCTCCTGCTAATCAAATCCTGTCCCTCGGCTGCCTCCTGCCTGTTACAGCGGGTGGGGAACACAGTTCTTAACTGGGCTCACAGGAGGTCCTTCAAGGCTTCACGCATCTCCCTCTGGGGCCTCTGTCTGCCCCGTCCCACCCCCCGGCCCACTGGCCTGCAACAGTTCACACGGACCTTGCCCGTGGCCCTGAGCGTCTGTCTGTCTGCTGTGTGCCCCACACCACTGCCGGTCCCTCTGCAGAGCAGAGCTCACTGACTTCATTGCAAACTCAGTTCCCGCCATGTTCGCGCTGCTACTCTTCCCTCCCTAGGACCCAGCACGGAACAGACCCTCCGGAACATTACATACATCCTGACATCATGACTTTACAAACTCTTTTTGTCGTCAGGCCCTCTGGAGTGGTCTAAGTGACCAGGAGGAGGCCCACAGGGTCAGACGTGAGATGGGGAAGAAGGGCCCCCCCACTCTGGCCCCCAACCCAAACTACTCTGAGTAGGAATGCTGGCTCCTAGGAAGAGAGCGGAGGGAAAGACGGGACAGCTCCAGGGAGGGATAAAGGTCTCTAAGGGTGCTGTCCGGGGTCTCAGGGCGTGGCCAGCTCTTGGGACCCCACCACAGAAGGTGCCAGTTGCTGAGCCCGAGAAGCTGTCCTTGAGGGCCTCCCAGTGACCCAGCGGGTGGAGGAGAGGAGAACTGAAGGTGGGAGTGGGGCATGGCTCCCCAGTGCACGGGCCAGGTGTCTACTCCTGCTGTGGCCGAGAGAGGGTGGAGAGTCCCCGGGTCCCTGGGTGTCCCCGGACACTGGGTTCCCGGTGAAGAGCGGGGCTGAGGAGGGACAGATGGTCGGGGGGCGGGGCCCCAGGGCCCTCAGCTTATCGCACACCCGCCCTTCTCCTTGAAGGGATTCTTGTCCTCAGGGATGCCTTTGAGGAGAGGGTCGTTTCCTGCTTCAGCCTCCACATAATCCTTGATTTCCTTTCCTGTCTTGGAAATCTGTGAGAAAACAAAGGGTGGTTCCAGCCCTCGTTTGTCTGTGGGCATCCATGATTTGCTCGGTGCAGGAAAACAGGGCCTGGACAGGGGGCTGGGGAGGAGAAAGAGAAAGGGGCAGGCGGGGGTGGGGGGGGAGTGCTTACCTCCGAGGGGCACTGGGCCAGGCCCCCTGCGGCCTCCAGGCTGCCGGGGGGGGGGGGGGGGGGGGGGGGGGGGGGGGCTTCGCTCCTGGCACCTCCGTGGGGCTAAGCCCCAGCCTCCCTCTGCAGCCTCGCTCGGCCCAGAGGCACCTCCGCCTCCTGCCCCTTCTGCTGTTCTGCAGAGGCCTCACCAGCCCTCCACCTGTCGCTTCCCCTTGGGGCCCAGCTTTGTGAGGACCAGGATGCCACGGCGGCGAACAGGGGCAGGGAAGGGAAGAGGGGGCTCACCGGGGTTCGTGGGGTCTTGACTTCCTTCTTCAACTGTTCCACCTCCATCTTCAATAGCTCCTTCTCGCTGAGCTCCTGGGCCATCCTGCTCCAGAGAGACCTGCTCCTGGCAAGGGTTCCGCGGCTGGGATTGCAAATCCCCTGGGCTCCCCACAGAAGCTCCCTCCTGCACTTTCCACACCTCAACTTCCACCCTCCTCCCTGCCCAGCCCCTCACTTCACACCACGGATTCATTCCCACCCCACCCCATCACGAATCCAGGCTCTGGAGGAGAGGGTACCCCCAGTCTGATGGGGGAGGCACAGGCTCTGCCCTTGGAGTAGGATCTGTCTACGGATGGAACAGGAATCAGAGCATGGGGAAGGGAGAGAAAAGGAGCCTCTTTCAGTGAACAGAATTCTGGAAGCCAGGTTATTGTTTCACATAATGGCACAGGTAGACGTTTTTGGGAAACAGCAGGTCCTGTCAGGGGAGAGTGTACCCTAGTGGTTAAGAGAAAGGCTCTGGAGCCTGCCGGACTCCAGTTCTGATCCTGGTTCTGCCACTTCCAAGCTGTGAGGCTTAGGCAAGTCACTCAACCTCCTTGAGTCTTAGTGTCCCTGTCTGCAAAATGGGTATAATAACAGTACCTACCTTGTATGATTTTTGTGAATCCTAAGAAAATAATGCGTATAAAATACTTCAACCCTCTGTATGGCACATCATGAATATTATTATTATTGTTATAGTATTGATATCATCATCATCAGGACAGGGCTATCAGGAAGGCCTGCCGGGGGCCCAGCTTTAATAATTCTAAGACTAAATCCCAGCCCAGTGCAAACTCAGCCCCTCTCACCTGCCAAGAAAGAGCGCGCACTTCAAGTCACTTGTCCCTGACTCAGACAAGGTGGTGTTTGAGCTTCCCGGCTCCTCAGCTTCTGAAAGTCTTCAGATAAAGCAGATGGTCTGAAAGCCAAAATCTCTGATGCCTAAGCTGATCATGGGCTCAAGGTCCTAAGCCCGTCCGCTGGCCTGAGCCTCCGAGCCCTCACTGCCACTGGAGCGGACACCCTGCCCCCTACGTCCACCTTGCTCCTTTCGAGACCCTTCTGGCTTATAGCCAGTTCTCACCCTCAGCCCGACACAATCCCCTCCCCGTGCCTTGTCTCCCAAGCCCTCCCGTCCACTACCTCTGAGCCTGCTCTGAGACTGTTCTTCTCAGCGAAGCAAGTCCTAGACCAGCTCCTAACGTCCCTCACCCAGGAAGCCTTTGTGTCTCCCATTGGAGCCCCGTGATTACACCTTACAAGCTTCTCCTAGCTCAATCTTCCTTCTCATTCAATAAAAATGGACTCCTTACTTAGGATGCTGTTCTTGTCAACACTTGGGGCCGTCGCCACCTCCAGTGCCTGTGTCCATGCTTCTTGGCCTCCATGCCTTCTCTGAGCCTTGAGTGTGGGTCTCCCTCACCAATCGCTGAACACAGGGCCCACATCCTGATATTTCTCTCGGTCTCCTTCCAGGACCACCCAAGGGCTATGCTGTTTAATAGACACTGAGCTCCTGCTCAGGCTGATAACCTGTCCCATGGCAAGGGGACCCTCCCAAGAAGCAGATGCTTAAGAGATCCATACGGTCAGTTAGGGATCCTCTTTTTGTCCTGTCTCTAGGTTGACAGGAGGGGCTCTGGAAGGAAGGAGGCCTGGAGCCCGTCCTGACTCCCCTGCTCCAGGGTCCGAGTCCCACTCACAGCTGGGAGCGCGAAGAATTTAGGATAAGGAGAGGAGCCTGGAGGTTTCTAGTCCAACTGCGCTGTAAATGCAGGATGGAGAGCACAGACCTCTAGAGGCCAGCTCGGTGCTCTGTCCACCGCTGCTTCCTAAGACCGACCAGTTACCCTGGAACTTGAACCTGGTGCTTCTCAAAGCCAATTCCTTCCTGTTGTCTAATCCGAACCCGTGGCGCTACAGCTGGGCTTACCTCCACCAGGCACAGAGCATGTGCACCAGGGCTTCTTCACACGCAGCCCTTCCGAGGCTTGCTCACACTTCTCAGGGGACCTCTGGATGTGTCTTCCTGCTGTCTGAGCTGATTCCTCTGGCTGCTGCCTTGGCTGGTTTCCATGGTTTCTGCACCACCCTACAGCCCCCAGCACGACTGGTCTCCATATCCTACCCACCCTCCACTCCCTGGGCCCCTGGTGACTCATCCCTGAGCTTCCCAAGGAAGCCCCCACCCTCTGCCCTTTCCTCCTCTTCCATGAGTGGAAAATCCGCCTCCACCACCCACCCAGAGCAGGCCAGCCCCCTTCCTCCTCAGTCTCCCACCCCATTCCCCTCCCCCCAGACAGTTTCCTCTCCAGGCACAGGGAGCAATCACAGCGCCCCGACCTTGGCTTCCTCTGCTGGGAGGGATTGGGGGCCTGGGCCCCCAGAGGGGGCCCTGGCTTCCCCCTTCCTCTGGGCAGGGGGCAGAGAGGCACGGGCCCAGGGAGTGGAGACTGACTTCCTCTTGTCCCGGAATGAGACTGCCTGCCCTTTGCAAGCAGGTTTGGGTCTCTCACGGAGAGGAAACCAAAAGCGGTGAGGGGGGGAAGACAGAGCGACCAATCAAGAGCAGGGTGAGGCACAAAACCAGCGGACTCCCTGGGGAGCCAGCCAGAGGCAGGGGGCCATGTCGGAGCTTCAGCAACTGCAGGAGTTTGAGATCCCCACGGGCCGGGAGGCTCTGCGGGGCAACCACAGCTCCCTGCTGCGGGTCGCAGACTACTGCGTGGACAACTACGTGCAGGTAGGCGGCATGGGCACCCGCCCCGACACCCCGGCCCTCCCTGGAGCCCACCTTCAAGGCAGGACCGTGACAGCCATCCTGACAGGTGCTCGTCCTGGGCCCACCTGGGAAAGCCTCCACCCCAGGCCTCAGCTCCATTCCAGTCCCCCCCTGCCCAAACTTCAGCCCTGACCCCAAGCTACCCAGCCCCAGCGTGCCCCTTCCCTCTCCTGGAGCCCCAGAGACGCCCAGACAGGCCCCACTGTTCCGTCCTGTCAGCAAGCCTCACCCGACGTTTGTCTCCTTCCTTGGTCCCGTGTAGATCCAGGGGCCCAGACTTGTCCTCACACAAACACCGGCATCATTACTTGCATGCTGACTCTGGGTGAGACTTGAGAACCTCCCGAGAACAGTGTTGTGAACTTGAGAGGCACCAGGGGGAGAATCCTTTCCCCGATATTTGAGTGAGAGTGGAGAGCCATCAGGCTAGGCTGGGTCTGGCGCAGAGGCAGGGGCATGGACAGCAGGATTGCTGGGAGCAGTCCACCCCCAAAAGATGACAACCGTGGCATTTGAGAGCAGTCTCCTAAACTGTGTAGTTGTTCCGGGACCATGAACATGGATTCTCAGATCAAGGGAAGAGGAGTGAGGGAAACTTAGCAATGACTGAGCACCTCTGTTTTTTCCATTAATCCTCATAACCACCTTATGAGGCAAGTATTATTATTCCTCTTTCATAGATGAAGAACCAGCAGCGCAGGGAAGCAAGGTGACTTGTCCAGGGTCGCACAGCTTGGACGTGGCAGAGTTGAGCATCAGCCTCCTGACTTCTGAAGCCGGGCTCTCTCCTCTCCACATTTCCCCTCCCCTGCCAGGCCCTAAGACTAAAAGACAAGTTTCTTTGCACTGGCAGGCCCGGGAAGCTCCTGGCTCAGTAGGAGCGTTGAAAAAAATAATGGAAGTAGCAAGTGCGTATGGGAAAATGGCAGATTCAAGAGAGTCAGTGGTGCTACCACGGAGAATGCTCTGCACCCTTCCTTTGGGCAGCATGTTGTCCTCACTTGGCCTCTTTTAGTCCTCCTTCCGGTCCTGAGAGGAGAAAACCACTCCCACTCCACAGCCAGGAGGCCGAGGTTCAGAAAGATCAGGTCACTTTCCCAGGTTTCTAAGCTGGTGGCAGAATCTGGATTTGAACCCAGAACTCTGACTCCCAAGCCCACCCCCAAATCTCTAGCTGAATAACTGCCATTCGTGTAGATGTTGAGGGACCCACTTGTGGATGAGATGGACCGTGGCTTGTAAACCAGCCTGGTCTCAGAGTGCTGGAAGGCAGGCTCCTCTTAGGGACAAGGAGAGAAGCAGTTCTGCACGTTCCTCCAGTAACCTCTGCACACCTTCAGCCTCTTCCAGATGGTTCTCTTTTGTCGTATGCACAGTGTGCACACAGGATTTGGGATCCCAAAGACCTGAGTCCAGTTTCCAACTCTGCCACCTAGCAACTACAGGACCCATGGCAAGGTGACCCTCTGATTCTTGAACCTTTCCTCACGGGGGTCCCATGGGTTAAATGTGAGAATGCGTTAAAGCGCTTAGCCCAGTGCCTGTCCCTTAGGAGGGGCAGGATGCATGGAAACTATTACCATTACTGTCATCATCATCATCATCATCATCACCATCATCTTCCGCCGGAAGGATGAAAGGCACATAGAGATAATGAAAGTCAATTCTAGCGAGGCGAGGCAGCCCTTGCAAAAACACCCAGGTCAGAGTCCCTGGGTTCCTGCTTCCTTCATGCAGAACACTAATTGACCTTAGTTACCTTTCCCGGCCTCTCTGAGGATCTCGGTCTGGGGAGCAAATGCCTGCAAAGGATTTGGATGACTTCTCAGAACTGCCCTTAAACAAGGCCTGGTTCCCATGCCCTCTGTCCCTCCCCCAGCCCCTCCCAGCATCCTAACCAGGTGTCAGGAAACCCATGGGGAATTGGGGGAGGGCAGGCTGGGGTCAGACTGCAGAGTTCTCAGTCAAAGTCCATTGAGTTTACAGACAAGGTAATTTGCATGATGAATAAGCAGTCAGCCGTGACAATGGATCTCATACCTTTGTACTTCCGGACCTAACTTTGGGCCAAGCCCCAAACCAAGGGTCAGCAGCCTCCCGGAGCTGGACCCAAGCAGACGTTTTCCTGTCTGGGTTGACAGTTCCACATGGCAGGCCAAACAGGGAACAGTGCCGGTGAGGTGAGCTAGGAAATCTGGGTGCAGACCAAAGGAGTAGTAACTGCTTTGTTCTGGGCCTTCGTTTCCTCGTCTATTAAAGAAAGGTCTTGAGCGAGAACAAGACCTGCTCTCCTTTCTGGTTTCAACATCCTCGGTTGATTTCTTTGCCTTTTCAAGGCTCTTGGTTACATAGGCTGATGAGATGTAAACTGCACGCAAATGAGCATCTAACTGTTGGAACAAAGACAAGGAAGGACTGCCCAGAAGGTTCTGGGCCTGCCCTTTGACTCTAGCCTGGCTCAGGTTCCACTGGAGGCACCCTGCTCTGAGAGGTTCCAGGTCTGCTCTCCATTGACAGACCTTGGGGAGCACCCAGGGGCCTTTAGCAAGGAGACTGCGTGGTGCGGCCTTGTCTGTCCACGCGCGGGGCCTGGCCCAGATTTGTCCTGGACTCACCCCTACCCCCTAGAGAAGGCTACAAGCTAAGTGGCAGTGGCTCCATGATCCGAACCGGCAGCAGCTCCTCATCCAAGCAAGATGAGGAAGCTGCGTGGGGAACCAAATGACCAGAGTTTTGCTCTAGCCCCATGGTCTCATCTGGAACTGAAAAACAAACAAACAAACAAACAAACAACCCTCTTCTGTGTTCAGCCATTCCCTGCCCACCCTTCCATCCCTGACTGCCAGCGTGACTCCGGCCAGCACCTGGCACAGTGCTTGGCATGCAGTAAGGAGATACCCAGCAAGTGTTTGGGTTCATATTAAACTCATTAATTAACTCACAAATGCGTATGTATTAAATATTGTCTGTATGTTGGGCACTATTCCAGGGTAGGATACAGAGCAAAGCAGACAAGCTCTCTGCCCTCACAGTGCTTACATTTTAGTATGTGGGGGGAAATAGATAATGAAGTAAATAGATAAATAATTTCTGATAGATAGTGCTAAATGCTATGAAGAAAAGAGAACAGGGTAAATATGGTAGAGTCAATATAGAAGTAAGCTAGGAGAATCTGAAGGTGGTGATGAAATGTGTCTCTGAGGAGCTGAGACTTAATAAGAAGGATTCTAGAAAGAAGTATGGCAAGTGCAAAGGTCCTGAGTTAGACACAATCTTAGCTTGATCTGGAAACAGGAACCTAATGGCCAATGTGCCTGGAGGGGAGTGAGAGGGAGTGGTAGAGGACAGCTGGGAGAGAAAAGCAGAGCCAGCCTTGTGGGGCCCTAGATTGGCCACGATTGGAAGTCTAGATTTTATTCTCAGTGTATTGGGAAGCTACTGGAGGGAATGAATGAAGTCACTCTTCTCTGGGCCTCAATTTCCTTATCTATAAAATGGACTAGGTCACTGGTTCCTAAACACTACTCTGCAGACTGGAGAAAGACAGGAGCACAGGAGTCCTCTGGGAGTTTTAAAGGCACAGATTCATCGACCTTACTCCTTACTCCCCGTCCTCCGTCCTCCGTCCCCCATCCTACCAGGGTTCTGATTAGAAGGTCTGGGATAGGGGGCCGGGCGTCGATGGGTTGGTTTTTAAGTTTGAAAGTACTGCCTTCCTCTTTCTTCTCTACTATTCACCCTTTATTCCCAAAGGTCCTCTGGAGGTGGTCAGGTCAATCCTCAGCTTGAGTCTTTGAGGAGGGAGATCTTTCCCTCCCCTTGCACCCCCATTCCTCAGGGTAACAGATTTGCTCTCCTAACGTTCCCAAGTCCCTCTTACTACAACTTCATTCTCACGGAAACCACGTCAAACATCGAGAGTTACCACTTTCTCCCAGTTCAGCCCCCACGCCCTCCCTCTCCACCCCTACCCACCCAGGCAAGGATCCAGTGGAAGGGGCTGGCCTCCCAACAGAGCTGTGTGTATTTCAGGCCACAGACAAGAGCAAGGCGCTGGAGGAGACCATGGCCTTTACCACCCAGGCACTGGCCAGTGTGGCCTACCAAGTCGGCAGTCTGGCCGGACACACTCTGCGTCTGCTAGACCTACAGGCCGCCTCCCTGCGGCAGGTGGAAGCCCGTGTGAACACGCTGGGCCAGGTAAGGGCTGTGGGAGGGCTTCTTGCACTGGCTCCCAATTCTTTGGCCCACTCGGACATGTTCACCAGCAGTTAAGTTCTTTCCTGCCTTCCTCCAAACGCCTGACTCCGCCACAGGAGCTTGCCATTTCCCAAGGGTTTTGAGCCTCCGTATCTCTGTGGTTATATCTCCATGCTGGGCCTTGCTGCCCTACCAGACTAGGAACTCCTTGAAGGCGGCCCTTTTCCTTTCTGACTTCTATCTGAATTCTATCCTGCATGGTAGGAAGCAGGACTTACCAATCGCGGTGGCTGCCTAGTACAGGAAAGAGGCAAGTGGATCTTGTTTCCAGCTAAACACAGGCAGTGACTTAGTAAGTGTCCTCGTCCTGGACTGTTTGCCTGGCAAGGTCATCTTCAGCCCTGGAAGCACGGCCACCACCACGCCGTGCCCCCACCCGTCCGTCTAGCCCTCCTCCTCCCTTCCTGGATCCTTGGCTGAGGAATTGCCCCATCACCCACGTGCACACAGCCACGGACACATCAGCCCGGCATCACCTGCATGTTCACTGCGTGCTGTGTTTTCTCCTCTCACCCCAGCAGACCAGGGTTCCCACCCGCCCAGTGTTGTGAGTTTCCCCACAGAACATTCCAAGAGGGAGTGAACGCCCTTCTTTGTCCCCCCAAGAGAGACAGTCGCTCCAGCCACGGTGTTCCACCACCTCCGCGTTCTCCACCTCTGCTTCCCAGCCAGCCCAGCGCTCCCCTCTCTTCCCAGCAGCTCCAGGGGTGCTGTGTTTTCTCTTTTCCTCTGGTTCCTGCTCAGCTAATAATAACCCTCATTCTCTTCCACCAGGAAGTTGCTCCAAAGTGGTTCCATCCTCCCCTGGCAACTCTTCCCAAATGCCGTGTGACCCTGGAGACAGCATTTACTCTGTCTCTGGACCTCACGGCTTCCCCTGGCCCCTACCCCCACCCCAAAGTCTCTAATCTCTTCCTCCTGTAAGAGGAAGGACAGAGACTGCCCCACTGTCACCTCAAACCCTGTCACGGCAGATGGTGAACATGCACATGGAGAAGGTGGCCCGAAGGGAGATTGGCACCTTGGCCACTGTCCAGAGGCTGTCCCCCGGCCAGAAAGTCATCGCCCCCGACAGCCTCCCTCCCCTCACGCCCTACTACAGGAGACCGCTTAACTTTGGCTGCCTGGATGACATTGGCCATGGGATCAAGGTAGAGAGAGGGCCCCTCCTCTTTCCCACAACCCACCCTCTCCTCATCATGGCTCCCTTCTCCTCGGGCCCCCAGTTCTCTTCCACATCCACATCCCTCCGTGTCCCAACCTGCCGCCCCTGTCTTTCCTCACTCCCTGAAGCCATCACCCTAATTCTCCAAGCCTCCCTCCCTAAAAGTCCTTCCTGACCGCTCCCTCCACAGCTGGCCTTTACCCTGTCCTCAGATGATCTGCTGAGGGTGCATCTGAGCACCCCCTTCTGTGGGGGCTGGGTGTGTGTGAAGGGGAAGAGGAGAAGGGAGGTGTCAGTTCGTGCATGAGAATGGTTCCCCAGCCACATGAGAACGGCAACTTCCTCTGTCTGGAGGTTTGAGGTCACCGCACGGAGCACTCACCCCAGAGCTGCTTGCTGGTGGGTGGGAACCGGTGGGGATGCAGCCACTCAAAGGGGGCCTGGTGAAGACCGGGGAGCCTGACACCGCCATTTCCTTCTCAGCTTGTCTCAGGAGAGGTGGGAGAGGACCCGTCCCCAACCCCATTTCCTCAGTTCCCACAGGCCAACATTCCAGGTTAGACTACACCTCCCCTGGGTCTCAACGACCCCTGGAAACCCTTCCCATCCCATAACATGCAGACCACACTCCCTCCTTCAGGCACCAGGCCTCCCCACCAGTAAGTTCTTCTCATTGCCCAGCTTCTATTCTTTATGACTCAGCTCAGGACCCTCTTGTCTTGTGCCTAGTGGTCAATAGCAGAGGACAGCATTCCCCATGTCCCCCATGCTTGGGGGCACCCCACCAGTAACGCAGGTGCTCCCTTGCCTGTGGGCTTGGCCTAGCCATTTGTGCATTTTAAATGCTCTGCCCCTCTCTGACCTGAGCTTCCTAAATCCGATTCTGCAGGCCCGGCCAAACGGCAGGTGGGATACTTCTAAGTGTGTTGGTCCTCTCCTCCCTCCCCGCTGCCCCGCACCTCCTCAGCCTCGCGTTGGGGTCGGGCTCTATCAGAATTAGAGACCACCAAGCTGGCCACTGAGATGTTTTGGGCGCGAGGGGCGGATGCCAGGCTGTGCGGAGGAAGTGGCCTTCAGACCGTGTCTGCTCCAGGCTTCCGTCGGGCCTGCAGCCGGCCGACCACAGAGGCCCGGGGCCCAGGCGGCAAGAGGGGGTGGCTGTGGGGTGGGGTGGGAGAGGGGGCTGGGAAGTGGAAGTGGGAACTTGCTGTCCCCGCGCTCTCCTTCCCAGTTCGTGGCCGCCTCTCCCTCGTTTCCTTTCTGGGACCAGGGCGGGGTTACGAGGGGGGCAGGGGGGGCATAGACGTCAGCCCCGCCCCCTGCCCCCCCGCAGGATCTGACCACGCAGCTGTCGCGGACCGGGACCCTCTCGCGCAAGAGCATCAAGGCGCCTGTCGCACCGGCCTCCGCCACCCTGGGGTGAGGCCTCGTGCTCCTGCAACTCGCCTCCCCCACCCTCAACGCAGAGAAGCCAAACTTCCTCCTGCCCGCACCTGACCCTTGTTCGCCGAAGCCTTCCTTCCCCCCACTGACGACACCCTCCCCCCCAGGAGGCCACCCCGGATCCCCGAGCCGGTGCAGCTCCCCGTGGTGCCCGAGGGCAAACTCTCCGCCGCCTCATCGGTCTCTTCCCTGGCCTCTGCAGGGTGAGCCCCACGAGTCCAAGTGGGAGGTTGAGGGGGCCTCCCGCCAGTTGTCAGGGTGACTACTAGGGTCGGGAGGACGCTCATCACAGGCCCGGGGCGCACGACTGAAGGGGAGGGACGGGTTGGGGGGGGATGCTGAGTTAGGGAAGGTGTCCCCCAACCTAGCCGAGCCCCGCTTTCTCTGGTCTTCAGCAGCGCCGAAGGTGTCGGTGGGGTCTCCACGACCAAGGGGCAGGCAGCACCCCCACCCCCACCTCTCCCCAGCCCCACGGCCCCACCCCCTCCACCGGCCTCCGAGGTCTTCCTGCCGCCCCCTCTGCCGGAGGAAGTGTCCCTGCCCCTGCCGGGTAAGGAGCTCCGCCCTCTCCTGGCTCAACCGCGGGGTCTCTTCTCACCTCCCCACCCTCTCCCTCCGATGGGCCCGCCTCAGGGAACGCCTCGTCCGGGTAGGGGGTAACGGAGAGGAAGGGGCCCGAGAAAGTGAGCTAACAACTCAAGTTAGCGCCTGCTTTATACCAGGCTGTGTTCAAGCTTCTCATCCATTTTCGCACTTAAACTTTAACAACCCTAAGGGGGTCTTCACACTCTGATTTAACAGATGGAAGTTGAGGCTGACAGGTTCAATTAAGTGACTTGCCCGAGGGTCACCCAGCTAAGTGGCAGAGCCTCACTACCCTACACTGCTCAACATTTGTTTGCTAAGAGAACGGCGTTCTAGAAGCCTCGTGGTGGAGGCCATGATGGGCTGGGGCTGGAGAAAGATTACAGAAAACGGGTAGATGCCGGAGCCCCCACTTTGAACAGCGAAGTTTCCTGGGGGCCATTGGCGGGGGTCCGCTGTGCCACATTGCAGGCTTTCTCTTTCCCTCCCAGCACCAGAGTTGCCTCCACCCCTGGACCTGCCCCCTCCCCCGCCCCTGGATCTAGATGAATTGGGGCTGCCGCCTCTGCCCCCACCAGACTTTGGGCCTGAAGAGCCTAGCTGGGTCCCTGCTGCGTACCTGGAGAAAGGTACCTGACTCCTGGGACTAGGGATCCCTCTCTCCCCCCTCCCCGGGTTCTACTCTAGACTCTGTAAAGGTATGAGCCTGTTACACCCCCCCCCACACACCCCTCCCTATTTTCTGATGAACTGACCAAACGTTTATCCAGGAGTGGGGATCCAAGCTGGAAAGACAGCAGCTGGCCTGGCACTGAATATTATTAAACCCAGCTGGGGAGGGGTCCCAAGAGCTTCGGAGCCTCACTCCCTGCAGCCGTCCCCCTAGATGTTCCCTGACATCCCCATAGTAGGGTGGGAGGCACGTCTCATGGCTACCTCTCCTCCCGCCCTGCAGTGGTGACATTGTACCCATACACCCGCCAGAAGGACAACGAGCTCTCCTTCTCTGAGGGCACCATCATCTGCATCACACGCCGCTACTCAGATGGCTGGTGCGAGGGCGTCAGCTCCGAGGGCACTGGATTCTTCCCGGGGAACTATGTGGAGCCCAGCTGCTGACAGCCTGGGGCTCTCTGAGCTCCTGATCCAGGCACTGTCCCGAGCGAGGCCCTTGAGCTCCAGCACAAAGCCAGCTCCACGGTCAAGGCTGGACTAGGCCTGCCCACCTCTTGGTCTGTGAGCTGGGCCTGTCCCTTCCCCTCATTTTGGTGGGAAGGGGTCCTGGGGAGAGAGAGGATGTACCCCAAGGCCTGCTGTGGACAGGAGAGAACTGGAAGTCAAAGAGTTTGGTGATCTTGTCCACAGAGTACCCCCTACTCCACGCAGGATGGGGTCTCCAGCTGCAAGTGCCAACTTCAAATAAAACTCTGATGACCTCCTGGTGATTGCCCTGCAGGGCTATGGGGCCCGAGAGAGAGAGAGAGAGAGAGAGAGAGAGAGAGAGAGAGAGAG